CAAGCTCTAGTAAAACAGTTTGATTCTTCAGAGGTTTTGTTTTGGGCTTCTGCAGCATATGTTTGTCTGTACATATATATATACACACATAGGAGTGTGTGTACATTTGTATTATTTTTTCCTGTCTTGTTGAAATATAAATGGTAAATTAACTGGGTCAGCTCTTTGGTGTCAGTGTAGACACTTATGTATTGAATGGCCTCAATAATTCTTGAAAACAGTATTAAATGTTTCATTTAGTTTCGAAGAGAGAATAATTTGCTACAATATTCTGTCTTTTTTGTGTGTATTGAAATAAAAGAAACAGAAGGCAATCTTAATTAGAGTCCCTGACTACTAACAACATTGCCCATAACCTTTTTTATCTCTTGGAAGGGAGAAGTTGCTGGTTCAGGATAGTGGGTTTTCCACTAAATGTTATTGAAGAATAAATATGTGATTGCCCAAAGGGGGATGTGTAATTAGATCGATGCTTTCCACCTTAACAATTTATACAAGCATATTTGTCAGGAGCTGCTGAACTCCTCAGTAGAACTATAATAAATTATTAATCAGTAAATACTAAACAACTTGTTGATCTTATAATATCAATAACTACTAATCTGCAAAGATTTTTTAGCAGTTCTTAGGATGACTGGAAAATGAGTTTGTACGTGAAGCTGTGGGGTGTGGGGATTTTGTGGGTTTTTTTATCTATCTGTACACGCTGTGGAGGAATGGCTTTCTGCTCATGCTAATAGCCAACATAACAGATTTCTGTAAAAAGAGTGAAAATGCTATGGCATTATGAAGGAAAAGTTGTAACCTGAAGAATGAACCTTGACTATCATGGTAGTGGAGGCAACTTTAGATTTTCAGTAACTTTTACACAGCTGCAAGAGATTCCTTTTTCAAACTATTTGAAGGACCTAGAAGCTTGACAATCAGCATTGTCCATGCAGACAGTGCAACTTTCTACTGATTACCAAATAGTTGTGGAATTTTTTATGAAATTAAATAAAGAACTTGTTAACAGGTTATAGCAATTGTATTTTTAAAGAACAGTAAGGACTTACCTGAAAGACTATAAAAAGTGTGTAAGATGCATGCAGACAACATTCTGTACTTTCATTAAATTAAACATGAGTTATGTCTCCTTGTTTACATAACACCAATTCTGGGGTGTTGCCAGCATGGGTAGCTGTCCATGGCAGGTGGTTCCTCACATCATGTTAAGCCTAAGTGAGAATACCTCTTCATAATAATTAAATCTATTTTTAAAAAAGGCAGGTGCAGTTTGAAGTTCTGTGTAGCACTGTGAAGCACTGAAATTCAGTGCTTTTACTGAGACAATCTAGTGTGAAAGTAGAAAGCTTTCTTCTGTAGCATATAAATTTGCTGAACTGTGCATCCTTTGTGTCATATTTTTAAGACAGGTTATTGCAAGTAAAATCTACCAGTGATAAAAATTCTCTTTTGAAGAAAATCAGTGATTTTTTTTAATTAGTTGAGTGAATTTCTCTAGGAAAATTTACTCCAATATGTAAACTTCCATTATTTATTTATTTATTTATTACCTTGGTAATGAAGGAATTTTGCTTTTTTGGTAGTATATTGAGAAAAATCAAAAGTGTGACCAATGGCATTATATTGTTTTGTTTAACTCTATGACGTTATGTAAACTCAGCATTTTTGTGTAGAGTTTGACTCACTATTTTTTCAGAAAAGTGAATTCATTCACTGATCTATAGTGATATTGTGGAAAACAGGAAACAAGTTCCACCTTTCAGCTGGAAAAGACAGGTGGCTTTTTATTTTTAGCCTTCAAAAAGGACTTTGCTGAATGAGGATTTCATTAAAAAATTAGTATTTGTGCTTTGTTCTCAGAGACCTCTATTAGGTTTGTAGAGGTGATGTTTTGAGGTGATAGTAAGGTATGGAAAACTAAAGTCACAGAGACAGAGAACCTCTATTATGTAGAAAGTGTTCCCTGGCTATGCGAAGCAAGTGTACTATTTTATACTGCTTTGACTAGGATGATTATCAGTCTTATATGATTATGCTAATTACACAGAAAATTGAGGTAGTGTGTTTAACTTCTACCATTAAATAGGCAGCTGCACATGTATGAAGCTGACTAGTTTGTATAATCACAGCATCAAAGAGTAACCACAGTTTTAATGTGGAATATTTTTGCTGTTTCCCCTTGATTGTGATGTTGGATTATATCAGTGCACTGTAGCATGTTATTCTGCATCCCCAAAGGATTCTAAATCTATGAACCATATGGGCTTTTCTTCTTCATTGCCCATTTTGCTCATATTTGCAACAGATCTTTTAAGTTAACCTCTAGAATTCATACCCAAAGAAATGCATCAGTCTCTGGATTACAGTAGTAAATACTTGCAGTTTTGTCAGCCAGTGACTAGAGTTTATTCTTGACATTGTTAGCATAAAATATTAAAATAGACTATATGTGGACCTTGTGCCTTTAGTAGGAGTGATTTCAGCAACTTCTGAATGCAAAAGATGGTGATTTATCATTATTGAGTTTGTGTGAAAATCCTGGGAAGGAAGAAGAGTACTAGTTTTATAGACATGCACAAGGTTTTTGTATCTGTAGGAAAAATTTTGTTTCTTGGTAAGCCTTCATTGGATTTCTGTCACCACTTCATTCACTCAAATAATTAGGGAATTTAAACTTTTAAGGGTATATTGCTGGAAATGGAAGAATATTTCTTTTGAAGCATGTATTTTAATCCAGTCTTACACACCTGCCTTCATATTTAGGGAATCTATTCAGTGAGTTTACATATTACAATCATCTTTTTATGTAGTTTTTTTATATAAGGGAAATCTGTCAGTTTTACTAGACTTAAAGCATTCTCTTTCAAAGCTGTCTAGCAACAACTTATGTGTCTGCATCTTTATAATGTGTATGATGGGGACTTCATTGATTTTGTTTTAGACCTACGACACCTTTGTTCAGTTCCAGTATAAACTGGCATAGTAACATTATCACCAGGTGCCTTATAGAATTACACCTAAGGGAAGTTGGGGTTTTTGATAATTTAGATTTTTTTTTCTCTTCTGTTTGGATTTTTCTTTTTAAGAGATGAGAAAGTGTCTGTCAGGACAAAACAGATTAGATTTGGGGAATTTAATTCATTGCCAGTTAACATAACCACCTAATAGCTTATTCAGATATTGAGAAACAAATAAATATTTGACCATTTAGGGAGAACACTGTTCCTCCACCTTTCCCAGGTTCAGCTTCACTCCAGGCACCCCTCCACCCCTCCTTCCTAGTCTCTGTTCCTCTGGCTGTGGTTACAGGTGTCTCTTGGAGGGACAGTAGGAGGTACAGGAGATCAGGGCCAGGATGTAGCCTTTCTTTCTGCTGCTGTTTGGTTTCTCAGGTAGGTTACCAGCTGTCGTGTTGCAAAAGAGCAAATGTACTTTTACTCTGTTTTACATTTGTAAGGTATCAGAGCACGCATGTTCTGTAAACTGAGATGGAAAATACAGGTTTCGTTTATGTCATCCACAAATACTGCTCTCTTCTGGGCTGGTCTGCGTTGTCATCTTTATATCTTGTTTTGATTTTACTTTTTAGATCATTGTTAGAAGTAAAATTCTATGAAGTTTAACTTCAGAAAGGCATATTTCATATTTTTACTCTACTTTCATATATTTACTCTTTTCTGGCTACCACTGTGTGACTATTCTTGTGGTATCTTGCATATTGTGTTGAAATCAAGGATGTGTAATTTATGCTTTAATTTGCTTGTAGAACTTGTAGAACTTATTACCTTTTCAGAAAGCTGTGCAAAATAAATCTTAGAAAATGATTTTATTAAATTGTATATATGCACCTCATTTTGTAGAACAAGTAATTGAAATGTGAAAGAATAGCATGCCTGTTTCAGACAGAAGAAAAGGTTTGTGTGTTCTTGCACACAGAGCTGTGCTTAATCACACATTTCATTTTCAGTTATTAGGGCTAATTATCAGCAAGACAGGCCACACTTCAATTATTATGGTACTGTAAGGAAATTAACTTTAAAAAGTTACACAGATCATAGCAGAAAAAAATTCGCCATAGGGGTGTTCCTCCCAAATTTAGTATCTATGTATTAATAATTACATAATGCCTGTTACTCATCCAGACACTTTTATATTTTACAGATTATTGCTCAATTGTAACACTTGTGGACCCATCAAATGTGAAGTTAACATGCAGTCTTTTTAGTGGAAACCAAGATTTTCTACCAAAAATTTACAAAGTTGGAGATATTGTTCGATTCCATAGAATAAAGGTACGTACTAGGATGTGGGGGGTTTATGTGCTTGCTTCTCTGCAGTGGGAGGACCATAGGAATAATTTAGTTCTATATGTACAGAAATTTACTCTTGGAGACATTGGATAAAGCAGCTGATTGTTAAATAGCTATGGTTATGGTATGGACCAAAACTGAAAGTAAATGATGACATTTTTTCAAAACCAACAATATTTATTAAACTACTTGACAAAAAATTATGTGGTACTTCTAGATGGATAGAATTTAACTGATACAAATCAGCATGATTTATTCCTCTTCAAACTGATAGAATTGAGGAGTTTCTTTAGGTCTTCTGTTGTGAAGCAGTTAAGGTCAGCTGGAGAATCTCTCCAGTAGAGAGAATCTGTCTGGGCTTGTTAGTGTGCACTGTGCTCCTGTTGCTGCTTCATTGTTATCCTGCATTACTCCCTATTTATCTGTGTCAAAGGGCATGCAGGAAACTGTTTATAGCTTTGATACTGCTTCTGCTGGATGTTTTTCTTATGCCTACTGCAACTGAATAGGGTAGAGGAACCACCCTACGGAGATGAATGGAGCTCTTGTAATGCTGAACCATACTTTAAGAGGTGCATAATGGGACCAATGATGTGATTTTACCATTGATTTGCAGCATAACCATACATAGTTTTGTGTTTACTTTTTGTGTAAAATAATTATAGCAGAAATTGAATGTAATGAAAAGAGGCCAGTAAAAAAAAAAATTAAAAAAAGCTAAGAACATAACAGCAACAAAAAAAACCCCAGTTTGCATATCTAAACACTCTTGAGAGAGTCCTAGGAAGCTTAAGAGATCTAGGAAATTTAGGATTGTACAAAAGGATGATAAAAGGGATAAATATCTGTAGTACTAAGCATGTACATTTTGATATCTTCTGTAGCAGGAGAACAAAGAAGAAAACCTCATGACAGTAAATGCAGAAAGTGGTAAGATTTATCCAGTATTTGAGTTTTATACTACTGAGATTGTTAAGAAAGGACTTGTTAAGATTCAGAAACAGTCTTAAGTTACACCTCTATATTGTAAGTATTTACAATTAAGAGAGAAATTAGCTAACCTATTCTGGATTAGTATAAGATTTCTCTAAGGATACCTATATATGTATTAAGAGTGGAATTAAATTGTATTTACATTTTGAAGCTTGTGTGCTGATCAGTACTTGAGATGTGTTATCAGTCTTGGAAGTTCATGAATTTGACTTCAGATGGGAAAGTCCTATGCTAGATTTTAATATTTTCTCTGAATCCATGAGGGTAAATGTTGTACAGATGCATTCATTTCAGAAATTCAGTGGCGATAACATGTTTATTGCTTCTGAAAACAGAGCACATACTTTATATATGTGAAGATGGAGAAAATAGAAAGGGACTGGTCAAAATAAGAGATTTGAAAAGTGAAAAGTTGTATGGTTGTGGTAGGTCATTATTGGGTTTCTAAGTACACATTAAGAAAATAAACAAGACCACAATCAGGAAGTTTATGTATGCACCTTCTTTTATGCAAACATAGTATTCTCTAACTTCTACTCTTTATTATTATCATCACAAACTTACTAAGGAAACCTACTGATACAGCACAGGTAAGCAACCTCACTATGCTGATTTGGCATCGCTTTTTGGAAGAGATCTAGAATTCTAGAATCCTTGTCAGTTGGTGCTTTATCATTCTCCAATATGATGTTCCAGTATTTAAAGATAGGGTCTATCAATTTGCTTCTCATACACACTTTTTTTTTCTGTCACAGTTGAGCTGTTTTAAGTGGTTTCCAGTACTAACAGAACTTCAGCTGCTCACAATCTATGTCTTTTCATATGCATGAGCTGAGAGCTTGTTTAATTACTTTGTAAGTGAAAATTATCTAGAGTGACTAAGGTGTCTTTTTCTGGATGGGAATGTTCTGATTACCCCAGACTAAGTAACAGGTCCTGCAGAAGTTTTCATATCTGGTCTGAGCAGGTAGAAGTCTGACACAAAAGCCTGGTGCCAGCTTCTGGGAATGAACTGGGAAGGGGAGGACCTCTTTCTCTTACAGCCACAAGCAGCATAGTAGGTATGACTTCTAATTACACTTTCTGCAGTTCCTCCTTCACTCTTTCCTGCTTTTGTCTTCAGGCCTTAATCACCTTTTCTTAGCTTGCTGAATGGAAAGCAAGCCAGGGTAGCAGAGGCCACAGTCTTGTCAAAGCTGTGCTTACCACTGAGGACAGGTAGATATACACAGCCCTTACAGTGTGTCCTCATATTCTGTCTGCCCCAGATCTGCTTTCAAGGGACTTCCAGGAAGTTGACATTGATAGCAAACACATTTTAAAAATCACTGCTCCCACTTACACTTTTGGCTTCTAATGGATAATTTCTCCTTATAGTAACAGAGATTTTGGCAAAAGCTGATGGTCAGAGCTAGTAAGAATTTAATGAAGAGGATTTTGTTGGAATTACTTTGGATAGAGGGTAATTTAATTTGCTAGTATTTGTTGAAGAGAAGGAAAATTTTAAATGTCTTAGTAATAGAACTGGGAAATTACTTAGTTTTAATTACATTTCTGTTAATATTTCTTGAAGTGCATCTTCATGCATGCCATTTTATGATGATTTCTCATGAATTACAGAATTTAGTGATTTACAGTACTATGCCTGGGCTTTCAGCCACAATCACTGCTCTGCAGAGATTGTGGAAGTTGAGCTCCCCATCTCCCAATATAAAAGACAGGCCTATGATCTATTTGTCTAGTCTTCTCCTTCTATCTTCATGGCAAAGAAGGAGTTTTCTTAGGTGGATTTTTCTTGGACCTTCTTGTTTATTGTTCACCGTGAATGCTCTTAATACCTTAGAAATAATGCCTAATGGTACACTGTGAAAGAGTGGGAAGGGGCAATCTGCTGGTACTGGCTAAGCCTGCAATATTTTATACTCTCTTGACTTAGGCAGAATACCAACCAAAACTCCTTTCTTGAAATGCCTCAAACCCTGCCATGATGATAGAATGGTTAATTTCCTCATTGGCTTTTCTCTAGTATTCCTTATTACCTCTGAGTGATTCACAAACAAGAACTTATTTTCTCACATCCAGTGAAGAGAATTGGTATTGGATTTCCATTTTAATGGTTAAGAATTGGAAAAAGTGATGCACATTCTTATTTTGGTGTTCATCTTGTTCAGTGTATTCTAGTTGTTTAATGCAGTCAGGATGTCCAGGATGTGTTCTGGTGGGTCTTTTTCCTGAATGCACAGCATTGCAGAGCTGTGTGATTCATGTGCAACACTTGGAGAATGAAGACTGAGACAGTGACCCCTGATTATAAACTTCACTTGTATGGCTTCCTTGGCATAATGCAAACTCTGTAGCAGTTATGAAGCCTTAATTCTTTAGCTTTTTGTCATAGTAATCCTGATTGCTAATCTCTTACTGTCATTAACCTTTACTACTTCTGTACACAAGCGCCAGTTGCTGTAACAAATGAAGTAGGAATTGTAAAGTTGTCACCCTCTTTCTTAGAATGTATTATTGCATCACCCCTGTGCTTCTCAAGTCACGTATCATGTCAGAAAATATTCTTTAGAAAAACAGGGTCTTGGACGTTATGGAGCATGGTGTAACATAAATGCATCATGAGCTGAACTGAGTTTGCACAGATATCAGTAACTGTCATCTACTAACCTTAGGATAATCGTGGATTATAATCCTATTGTTTTAGTTTTGTGGTTAGATCACAGAATCAGAGAATCATTAAGATTGGAAGTTACCTTCAAGATCATCAAATCCAACCTTTGACCAAATACCACCATGCCCAATGCAGCATCCTAGATCTCTAGAATAAAAAAATGGAGAAAATTAGATCCCTTGAATGCTATTAATTGCATATTAATGTGATTCAAACTCTGGATTTACAATGTAAACACATAGTCTCTTTGAGCAAAAGGATTTAATAGCCGCAATATAGGTGGTTATGCCTTTCATAGATCAGTAGATTGACAATTTTAAGATGTAGTTTTTGCTAATGAGTTTCTAAGGTGTTTATCCACAGAGGAGGGGGAATCTGAATGTCAAATATATGGAGCATGGCTTCATGACAACATAGAAGTATCACACTCCCTTTTTTGTTATCCTTACTAGTTCTGTTCTGTCTCTCTTCTTACGAGTCACTCTCTTAAATCTGGTAGTATTTGACATAGCACTCGTTCTAGTGTGTTACTTACTTTGATCTTTAAACAATCTGCTCAAATTTCCAGGAGCAATCTTACTTTTGCACTTGGCTAGCAGTTTCCTTGTCTCTTTATGCTCTCTCCTTTAATTTAATCCAGTTTGTCCAATGAAAGTTGATTTCTTTCCTTCTTTCTACTTGATGCAATGTGGAAGGTACTGAGAGAAAGACACAGCAGGAGTGTCTGCTCACTTCTTATTCCTGGGCAGCTCTAGCCATAGCTGACAGGTTGATAAAGATGAGGGGGGAAAGTCTGGAGCTTGGATATATAGCATGCTGCATGAACATTAAACTTTGGCAGAATAGACTCCCAGACTCTTAGTGTCTTCTGAGAAAATGTGGTCCAAATATATCAACATGGCCAAAATTAGGTTTGAGACTTTCTACTAAAAAAGATGTTGAAAGCATGGTGTCTTTTGCACTGCTACTCAGTTTTCAAATTCTTTTTCTGAAGAGTGGAAGGAAATAAATTATTTTTTAGTAAGCAGTTAGGAGATATTTTTTTTTAATACAGAAAAAAAAACAACTTTTTTTTTCTCTGAAATATTAATATTGCTTTTGGTTCCCTTTCAAAATTCTGTAAGGCATGCAGCTCACTTTGAATGGAATTTAAATTAAAAATAAGTATTTTTCCTATAGTAAATAATGTCAGGAAATAATGACTGTAGGCAGTGATAGAGTGTCTCTGTAATTTGAAGTCTTAGTAATTTGCAAATATGATTTTCATATCATTACTTTTGGTCAAGTTACTGGATCAGATTTTAAATACTTAGAAAATATTCAAATATAGTAATTTTTTACTCTATTAGAATTTCTAAAGCAGTATCACAGTGCCTGCTGGCTTTTTTAATTACTAAACCAGAAATTATTTCAACTGGTTTTAAGTATATAAACTTCTTGTATACAGATTTTTCCACAAAATACTTATATCTTCAGGTGAATTTAATTGGTAAATAAAATACAATTTATTGCTCATTTTCTTCTTTAATTGGTGTTTCCATTGCTACAGATGTTTCAGACAATCTTTTTTTGTATACAGCCATTCAGGAATCCTAGAGAATAAACTATCACTTATGGTCCTAATATCTAAATGTGTTTATCATGTCTCCAAAAGTCATTTTACTTCCATGTGACTATCTTTGTTAGTTTTCTTTCAGGAGGTGCCTCCACATAGTTTTGGTAGTTCAGTTTTCTTCTTGTGATATTTCAACATACTCAAAATGGTTTAATTTATACTTCAGATGACTTCTCTGTTTCATTAGTATCTCTCTGTTCATACAGCTGGCAGAACAGGTAAACCAGAATTACATTATTAAAATATAAGAAAATATAATCAGCATCCTGTATTATCCAAATTTGTTTAGACTATTTACTTAAGATGAGAAAACATTTACAAAATATAAGGAAATATACCAGATGCATTCTGGTGAGGTTTTTTGTGACAGGATACTTCCCTTCATACAAATACCATCAGTGACAATCATAAAAAAAATGAAATCTTCCTTCTTAGTATAAAAACATACATTAGTTTGGTATATGTTGTTTCTCTAGGCATTTTTTTAATATTCTGAGATGATCTGTGCCTGCAGTGGTTTCATAATAGTCCTTTGCTTCTATAATTTAACAATCAGTTTTGATGGAAAGCTACCGTGGAGATGCTATTATTCCAGCTGTATACACTACTTACTATCACACTTTTCCATTTTGTGAAATGAATAACACCATCTTCAGTAAAAAAAAAAAAAGAATGTGTTTTACTTTGCTGTAAATCTATTTATAAATATTTCAAGATTAGCTTCTTTTCAATAACCATATTCAGTATAGGGTTGTACCCCATAGAAATCACTAGAGTTTATTGTCCATGCAGTTTATTAAGGTGACCGTTCACCTATTGTTCTTAATTTACAGAAACTATGCCAGAGACTCCTACAATATGTATTGGAATTTACTGGCTTAGAACAAGATAAATGCATTTTATCTGCTCCATTTTTTGTCCCAGAGGATATTTTTATTTAGCAATCATTATTTATTGAAATTATTTAAAATTCTCAGGGAATTTTTAAAGAGATAGCAGTCTGCCCTGCTTCCCAGTTAACTCCCTGCTTCACCCTGCCCCACCACTTTTTTAAAAATGCGCCATTTCTAGAGGACGTGGACATAAAATCTACTGAAGGGGAAATCATTGTCATATGCAGAAGTCCCAGATTGGCTCTTTCATAAGGTTAATTCAATTTCAAAATTGTTTGGAAAATACAACATGTTTACAGTATCAGTGCCTAACTTGGTCTGAGATCTGCATAAGAGTGCCATAATGAAACATTTGTCCATAGACATTGTTCATTTTATGCTCCAGTGATCCCTCACAACTTGAGCAATCATTTGTTTTTAAAGGCCAAGCCCAGAGAATTTCTGTTGGCCATCATCTCTTTTGTGGGTCAAACACAAGTAATTTTCCAGCTGTGAAATACTTTGTTCTGTAACCTATTCTACATTTCCTTCTCCCACATCTTCTTTTCTTCACTGAATAATATTGTTGAATTCTGTTTACATTAGAGAGGACTCAGTGGCATCTCCGCCTGCCTGTGCCTGAGGACGTCTGGTTTTGCTAAAGATCATTGCTAATTTTCTCATCATGACAGTTGAGATTTAGCTTCTTACTTTATTTTTTTAATTATTATATTATAATTGCCTCTTCCAACATTAAGGCTGATTTCAAATTGACTGAATGAGAGTACTAGGAGATGTCAGAAGTACAGTATGTCAGCTTTCTGATTGCTCAAAGCATGACGTAAAGGATTTGGGAAAAGAGGAAAATGAGTGATGGTGCAAGCCCAGGGAGACAGAGTACTTTCTTTCTGGTTTTGTGAAAGGCTTAGAGCCTTCACAGAAGACTAGGACAGAATTTTTACTAAGAAAAAAATAAAGATATTTTTATGATGATTTTAAAGAACTAATGAAGAAATAAATAAATAGGTAAATTAGAAATTAAAGCACTTCAAGAAACATTTGACATGTCAGACAAGACACATGAAAAGTATTCTTGAAATATATTTTGATACAGGATGAATGGGTAAAAGTGATGAGAGTTTTCATCCCCTCTGGATGTTACCTGTTTAGAGAAACTGTGGAAAATAATGCCAGTGATAGCAACTAAAGTAAATCTGTGTGTTTATATTAGATAACATCTTCCAGGGGGGCATGTTTTTCCAGATTGTAGATAATGGGAGGCAAATTGATTATGAAATTGACCATGTATTTTCCTTGTTTATCCTTTGGCTTTTCTGATATTTTCAGTATTTAAATGTAAAGGTTAAAAGATTGAAATTTTTCAGTCTTCCACTGAAGAAAAACTTCATCCTGAATTGATGTGCTCCATTGGTCAGGTTTGTAGAATGCTTAAGTAAATCAAAGCTTATCTTAGAGATGACCCTTAATGCATTTATGCATTATGTCAGAGTAGCAGGGATTAAAGGAGTTCCTGTCACCAAGATTGAACTGCTTTGCATATGAATTTCCAAGGTCAATGAATGCCTGATTTGTTTACTTTTTAATAAAATATAGGCCTAAATCATTGGCAGTGTTTTGCTGTTTAGAACTTCTGACACACACTGAATGTTCTGCACTTTCAAATCAGTGGGATTTTCAGCCATTTGGAAATTGAGCACTGGGAATCCCATACTAGACTGTCTCACAAATGCCATATTCTTGTGTGTTACTGGTAACTTGGTGACCCCACATTAATTAGAAAGGGATGGATCAAAACAGACTGTTTCAGATTTCTGGATAATGAGTCATGCAGTGCTTTAATATAGATAAATCTATAATTGCAGGGAGCAGTAAGACTAGACTAGACCCTTGAAGGAATGTTTCAGACTTTAAATTTTGTGCTTCATATGGCAACAGATACACAGTGAAATCAGCAGGATTTGGGAGGCCTGCCATCAGCAGGGCAATAGACATTGAATAGTTGTGATAGCTGTATTCATAATTAAAGGAGTGAAAGCTCATCACTGTTTGCTTTATGGAAAAAAAATAGCTCCTTGAACTGATATTTTTTTCAATTCAGTAATATTAGGAAATGGCTAGAGGGGCCAAAAACAAGAATCCATAATAGCTTTGCCATTACTCTGCTATATAACCCCTAAAAATTAATTTCTCTTGTGCCTTAGCTTCCCCATTTAAAAGAGCAATCCTGATATGTTCCCCACACAGATATTTTGATGTGTGCAAATAAAATACTCTGCAAAGATGCTGTAGGTGTAAGTGTTACAGGTAGTTATTAGTCTGCCTCTTCAAAAATTTCTCGTGCAAGATTATATTTCAGCTTGTACATTTTGTTTTCTTATTAATAATTTTACCTTTTTCTTTTGTTTTTATTTTGACTCTGTTCTTCCAATAGAACCAGGTCAGAAATGATCAGTGGTCCAGTTTCCATGCACATGATAACGCAGAAGTATATTTGTTTATCCATGCAGTACAAACCTTTCTTTTTTTTCATTCATATTTTTTATTACAGATCAGGGAATACAATGGACAGATGCAGGGAATTACCAGTGGGGGATTTGCATCCCTAACATTTGATGGAACTGTAGGAGCTCCAATTGTTCCTCGAACTTCTAGCAAAGTGTACACTTTCATGGATGAAGAACAGAAAACAGTGGAAGAATTACGTATTTGGGCAGCCAGTAATATTTCCATCTCTGGACCAGCAACAAAATTGTCTGGTGTTCAGCCAATGCTGTTCTTTGATCTCACTTGCCAGCTGGTAGGAAAAGCAAAAGTGGATGGATCTTCTTTTCTTCTAAAGGTAGACTTCCTTTTTAAAAATAATTTTTTAGGTTTATTAAGACATTGTGATACATTTTATAATAAAACAGACATATTAATTTAAACAGTATTATGTAGATAAATATTTTTAGTGTAAACAAATCTGTGATCCTTGGCTATTTTGTTTTTATAAAAAAAACTAGTTGTCTTTGAAGCTGATTGCCTGATTTGGTTTTTTACAGAGGTTTATTAAGATGGCATTATATAGATCATAATTTCACAAAGATTTGTAGATAAATATCACAAGATTTCTTAACCTTGAAAAATATTGTTAGTTTTAAACTGTATGCTTGTTTTCTAGTTAGCAGCATTTACTGTTTGTTTTTCTAGATTTGTTGGTTGTGATTAGTGCAGTAAGAAGCACTGCCTAAAAAAGAATGAGTGATTATGTTATCATGATGGATTTCAGGTAGTTTCTTTTAGTTACATATAAGCACTTCAGGCATCAGGCTTACTGAAAATACAAAATGCAAAGTGCCACAGAACAGGAGAGCAGATTCTAAAGGTGATCCTTAACATTAACTAAATGAAAAGGAGGTCTCCACAATATTCCTAGTTCTAGTTCAGATGTGTCAGTCTGGGGTTGTTCCAAGACTCTTCTGCATTTATTTTTGTACTTGATTGTTAAAACATAAGTAAAGATCAAGCTGTTATTTTCCACTTTGTGACTTCATAAAATTATTTATTGGTTCTTCTGTGTTAAACTGTATTGTTACAATATTTTTAGAAATAGCACTTGGTATTATTCCTTCATTGAAGCAGCAAAGATTTTTCTCATACAGAACATTGCATTACTACAGAGAAACAAACTTTAAGTGCATGCTATAACATATTCTGCAACTGCTACAAACATTTCCATTTAATTATGCCTTGTGAAATAGATGTCAAATGAGACCCAATAAATTTTTGATGACTTTGTGGAATGTAATTAGGTTGTTCATTAATAAGTGTATCTTCAGCATTAAAGGACCTTTTGCAAGGGTAGAGACAAGTGCTCTCTTAAATTACTATTTCTTTACGCACTCTTCTGTGTTGTAAGACCCAAAGTTGATTTTGTCACTTTTGTATAGTAAAGGTGACTTGGGGAGATTTTAGGGTATACTTAGGAAGGTAGAAGTCTAAGGTCAAATAGTGGCTGATCACTTATTTAGTATAAAATATTAAATACTTAAATATGATTTACAATACATTGGACAAGCTTAAAAATGCTACATTAATAGTCTGTTGATAAATTCCTCCATTTTTCAACAATAACAAAATCCATTTCTGATATTAAATACTAGTTGTGATAGGAAAGAAACCTTTCTAAAAACTTGTCGACAGATTTCTGATTTTTTTTCTTGATTTGCTAAATAAAAAAACCAAACAAAACAACCAGTTCAATACTAGCTCAAATTGAGTCATCATTAAATATTATTGTATTATTTTGATTATCCATTTTATAATAATGTTTTGCATTTCTTTTTTTCCAAGTATATCTGTTAAATTAATTATTGATTATACTACAAAAAATTATTATTATTATATGATTATCATTATTACTAGTATTATTATTATTATTAGCATTAATGTCATGTACCTAGTGGAGACTGCTTCAAAGACAACTAAAATAAATTTCAGCAATTCTGTAGTGTAACTTTTAAACTACACTTAAATTACACTTAATAAATTAATTCCTGTTTGCACAGCAGCAGAGTTGGACATGGCATAGAGATGGTATCATGGAGCTATTAGTGTTTTCCAGTTTCTGAGAATTTTGTTAGTCATATTGGTGGAATATGACTAACCAAAGAATACACACAGAAATTATTCTGTCATTTATGCCTTTCATAAGAGTTTTGTTATTAATCTTTTCTTCCTTTCTGTCAGTTAAATTGTGTACATTAGGTAAGTCATACAATGAGCATATTCTGCTGAAGACAGAAACAGGTATTTTGTCTCTCCCATATCAGTGTTTTCCAGTCATGGTGATCAAATGTTATCACTAACTTTTCTTTAGTTCCAATCTGTTCATGACAAGTAATGGGACAATTTGTCTGTTGTCTCAGCATTAATTTAACTACTTTGGGGTTTTATTCCAGTATTCATTTCTAGGACAGTTTGAAACAAGGATGTTTCAATGTTTAGTGTAAAGTAGAGCTTCCAGGCTCCTGAGGTAGAGAGCTTTATCTGTTTTCGTATTTGTGCAAGAAAAAACCCAAACCCAGATACTTTTGAAAGATTTTTTTCTTTTAAGAAACTTCACTAGCTTATAAATTCTTCTAAAAGGTGCCTTGGTGCCAGCCCTGTTAGTTCCTCTGGCGAAGGATATTTTAAAACTAAGTCACCATCCTTTTCCTCTGAACAGGAAGCATGCAGGTTATTTTAATCCATTTGTCAGATCATCTCTGCAGTGTTGAATTACCAAAGTGTACCAAGTAAAGCCAGTTGAAAAATAATTGAAAACTTGACAAATTTAAGATTCTTTACTTTGTCAGAGTGACTGAATTTGTACTATATATGCACCAAATCTGTTTTCAAGCTGAGTTCTGGTAAAGATGTGATAATTCAAGCAATAGACAACCTCTCTTTCAAAGGTGGTTTTAAGTATTTCATGGTGCAGGATCAGAAGATAACAGGCTTTTTTTTTAATCTGTGGCAGCATATACCACCTCATTATCTGGGTCCTTCAGAATATGCTCTTATTTGGCAACATAATGTGATGTCATGGGTCATTTTTGCTGTGAACAGATTTCCCTTTTATCTCTTGATTCTGGATGCATATTCCATGAGTTAGCATTTATACGTGGCTCTGCTGATTCTTAGATCTTTTCCTGTGGGTCTGTTGATCCAAAGCAGTTAAGCATAAGGGGTAGAAATCCTTTAAAAATTAGGCTTTAGTGTCTTTTTTTCTTGCCCTCTGCAGTGCCTAATTTGTGGGACAAAGCACCTTGGAATCACAAACTGTCTGAAAATTGAAAAATAGGTTCTTCTGTTGGACCTGTATGTATGAAATCCTATGAAAAGCAGCACTTCAGAAGTCCAAATGCTTCTAGATTTTTGTTTTACTATGCCATTATATCAATCCATTATTTTTGAGTCTTTGAGAAGAGGGTATCTTCAGAAACTCAGGAAACCATAGTTTACAGAATAATGTTTGGGTACAGAAGTAAGATTTTAGGTTCAAGGTGTTAGCCTGTCAGTAAACTTACCTTTCCAGAACACTTTGATAGCTGAAAAATAACTATTGATATTTCAGTACTTGCAGTGTATCAAGGATTTAGCTTTAGGCAAACAAGTTTTAGAATCTTTATTAATAAATATAGGATAAGTACTGATGTTTTTCTAATATGTTCTGGATAACTAGCAGTGTATGGTGCTATAGGAGATCATCAGTAATTAAGCCAGTATGTGCTGTGCACTCAGTATTCACATACAGTAGCTGGAGTGGTTAAAAAAAACCTATAGCAGGATTAAAATATTAATTAATTAATATTAAGTTTTGCATATGATGAATTCTGATAGTTGTAACAGCTGACCCTGGGATTGTCTCAGCTGGTCAGAGCATGGTGCTGAGAGCACCAAGGCTGAGGGATCAATCCCCATGTCAACCATTCACTTAAGAGTTAGACTTGATGATCTTTGTGGGTCCCTTCCAGCTCAGAATATTGTGTCATTCTGTGCTGGATAAGCAGCTGAGGTTCTGCTAGAGCTGGTATTTTTCTTTTTTATTTAAATATTTAAAAATTTCAGGTTTTAGCACTTGATTATGTTCTCTGTAGAGGTTATTTTATGTAAGCAGTAATAAGTTAAAAAATCCCATAAGGTCAAATTCAAGTATCTTAAGGACTTTTAGACTGAGACTACAACGAAGGTCTCTTATTGTTAATAATTTTTAATCACACCAAATATTACAGAAAGTTATTTAAAGTCTGAATCTAAAGTATTCTGAGCACATTGAAATAGTTCATTTGCATTGCAGGTTTGGGATGGCACTAAATGTCCCTACCCCACATGGAAAGTGCCTGTGGAAGCAAGAGACCTGGAAGGAGAAAAAGTTGTTCTTCATCAGCTGAGAAATCTAGCGGTGGACATTCTGGTCTATGATAATCATGTACAACTGGCAGAATCACTTAAGGTAATGCAGAGTTTGGTATTTCACTCTCTTTTTGTGGCCTGTTTTATGCTTAGAAATCACTTCAGAGAATGCATCAATCTGGTTCTGCTGTAATTATGTGTTTCTTTATCTTTCACTGTACTTCCCATACCTTTTATTTGAATGCAGAACTTCTTCAACATGTGTTAAACAGGCTCATTACCTGAAAATTGCCATGAAAAAATTCTTCACATTAAGCACTTTCTAGACACTGCAATACAATAGATAACACAATGAAAATAATGCACTCAGAAAGTGTATTGTGTGCTTTAGAATTATTTCTAAAAGATACAATGCCATGTTAAACCTGTAGTCCTGTTAAAGATCCTTAATTCTTAAGTCAATAGAAGATTTTCTGTTCTATAAGCTTCTGCAGTTTGCAGTGCAATCTTCATTTAGTAGGTCAGTAATGTTGATTATGCTTAGATAGAGAAAACAACAACATAATTAAACATCAGATCTTCTGCAATACTGCCATCTTGCTTCTGAATACAGGAACTTGGCAAAGAATGCATCTTTCATTTCATGCCTTGCCCTCTATACTCAACATCACTTTTAAGAAAACATTTTACCAGAAAAAAAAAAGATAAGTGATAATCCTTTTTTATGCTGGGTCTATCAGCAGACATGAAGTCATTTTGGTAAATTAACACCCATTCATAAGTAAATTACAGATAGCAAAATAAGTGTAAGAATTTGTGTAAGAATTCATAACAAAACTAACAGTAGTATTTCATTACTTTCAAGTTCTCTTCCAGAATTTTTCTCTTACTAACTGGTGTAAAAAACTGATGTTCTAGTGAAATAGTATGTTTTGAATATGAAAGAAAAAAGTATTTTAATATTAATAAAACTTATTTTCTTGGTTTGCTGATAATACTTCCCTGTATTATTCTCCTCCCTTTATATTCAGGAATTGAATCACAATATATATTGAGTATGTGATACATGGGATGTCTTCATACTCACTCTTAGTTTATTTCTTCCTATCCACTTGCTCTTTTGTATTTCTGAAGCATTTTTATCTCTGCTGGATACTGCACTGCACAGTAGAAAGTTTAATAATTTCAAAGGAAATTATTAAGAAACCCCCCCCTTGATCTCTTGTGGGTGTTTTTGTCCTTCTGGCTATGTCCAAAGTTGCAGTAGTTTCAGTCATGCAAGCTGTAGAAGTTTCAAATTAGATAATTTTTGTACACCACTTTCTAGTTGCTTGTCTTAGTGGAGTTATCAATGAAAAAGGGCTGATATGCTATTTCAAATTAGATAATTAGATATTTCAAATTAGATAATTTTTTATCTAAGAACCACTTTCTAGTTGCTTGTCTTAGTGGAGTTATCAATGAAAACGGGCTGATATGCTGACAACTAAATTTCAGAAGTTTATTCAGAAATTACTGATTTCAGATTGCAACATGTAGAATTAATTGTATTTCAGAGAATAATTTTTATCTCTCTATATACACACACTTATATATTATACAATTTGGCAGGAACCCTCCCTAAAATAGACGGGTTTTTTTAAAGGCTTTTAAATACTAGTGAAAATTATGTCATATCATAAAAAAGTATAATCCAAATATGTATCATATTTTATTGAGTTCAGGATCTTGTTACTCAAAGTTGTTTTTTTTAAATTCATTTTTATAGCAGTATAGAAATGTTTAGTGTATCGACATATACCTTCCCAAGTGTGATTAGGTATTTTGCCAGTTTGTGGTTTCAGAAACAATAAAAAGTGCACTATTTTTCAGTCTTCTTTTCTATACTTCACACTAGTTTAGAGTGGCCTTTTTTAATGTAAATTTCTACAGAATTGTTAGGTTACACTCTTGCCTGTTGTTTTGTACCATTTGCAATGACAGTTTCAGCTTGGAAATGATGTTTTATGTAGGAGCAATCTGTTTTACACAACCTTGATAACAAGAAGGGCAGATTATAAAAAAAGCCTTGAAATACATGGTCTTATTTTAAAATTGTATCTGTAGGCACATGTTCATACAAGGAAGCTATAAGTACTGTACACCAGAGAAAGTGGGTAATATATATCACAGGGAAATTTTGACAAATCCTGGAGCACAGTGTCAGGGATATTGCTGCAAGGGTTTGTTAAAAACTTTATATCATCTGTCCAGAGAACACTGAAGATTTGAGCACTTTATCTCATTTTCTAAGACAATACTTCAAGTGTTTAATGGAGAGAACTTTAGTTAAAGGTATGTTGAAGGTATGTTGCAGTTGATACTGTAAGTAGACTTTTTCACTCTGTATTTACTGGCCTCCCTTTCCTGCTGGGCAAGACTGTGGCTTTTCAGCAATACAAAAAGAATTTTCAGAAATCTCATCTCTGAAGCAGATTATTTATTACCTGGGGCATAAGGACATGGCAAGACCTACAGCTAAGCAAAGAAAATGTTGTTCGCTGCTTTTTCTTGAATTTCCCTTTTCCTCTGGTGATGTACCAGGGCTAGATGAGGCTTTCTCATAACTGCAGGAACCCCAGCCTACAAGTGACTGGAGTACAGTTGCTCCACATTTTTTAGCCTTATGCCAGTTTTCCAGTACTTCTCAGTGTCCACTGACCTTGCCATGCAGTTTGGGAATAGGTCTGTGACGTGAGTTTTTCCATCTGGGGCATTTTGTTTAGGTGGTAAACATCAAGGTGAGTGAGTGTCAGTGGTCAGCACAACAGGGGTACAGCTGCCCACAGCTGGTCAGAGATTTCCTTATTTCTGCCTTTCACTGACTATGTGATCCAGTGCATTCCTCTTCTGGCTTAATGGTATCAATTCTGTGTTGCCATCCATGTTATGGATAGTGCAATTAAAACTATTAACCTTGAGCATACATACAAGTCCTAGTCCATAATTTCACAGTATTTGCTCTGTGTTACATATCTTCAGATGTAGAATATGTATAGAATATTTTCAGCTGTTTCTCCCACCATGGTACTATCTTTCATGATAGTAGTTTGGACTAAGAAGTTTTCTTTCCTAGTGCCAGAGTCACATTTTCAACATACAACTCAAATGAGTTACTACATGGCCAAAATATCTAGCTTCATATTTTTCAGATCTAGATAACATTCCCTTGACATGTGAGTTGTATTCTCCCCACTTTTTACTCATTGAAAAGGGAAAAAACCCAAGACCCACTTGTGAGTCCTTCAAACTCTTAAATGGATTTAAGCTGGTATTTCTTACTGCCCGAGATGGTGCCCAGATGCCATCTATATGCTTTGTCTCATTTGCAGAAAGTTGTGCACTATTTACTCAGTAAAATTAGACTGTTGATGCAATGACAAAGAAATACCACTGAATATAATCAACCATAAATATAGGCAAAAAGGTAAGTACAGGTGAATTACTTAGGTGATTCCTGTAGATAAAGACAGCTTCTTGTGCATCTTTTTGGACAAACATGAATATTTACCTGCAGTGACACATGCTGTTGTGAATTCACTGAATTCCAAAGTGATTGTGAACACACTATATCGTGAAATAATCATGAGAATTTACTGTGCTAAAAAGTTGTTCTAGTTAACTAGTTACAGGGAACTGCATATATAACTTCTTCATTTCAATTCTCTCTAGCCTTAATATGTATTCTTTAAATAGTAATATTTAAATTAGACTGAATATAAGGTATTAGTATCTTTTATATTACTGCAAGAAATGTTTTTGTTCACTTTGATTTCACTTTTAATGAACTTCCTTGAAATGAGGTAGGTCATAAACACAGAGCTTGTATAGGTATATAAAGAGCTCAGTCTGCAGGCGTTGTGTAAACAACAGAAATACAGTAACATTTTTATCCATAACATCCACATTTGCTCTGTGCTGTTAACAGTAAGCAAGGCTGCCTCCCAAAGGAATCCAGGGAAATAGCATGCTGTCCACTCAGGCATCTCCAGGCTGACATTCAGAACCTTATAGATCTTTTCAGTATTTGGCAATGCTGATTATTATGCATCTCTTTTTTGTAGTTCAAAGTGATACTAGAATATAGAAAATTTAACATGTTATATAAAATATCACATTTTCTGAAAAGGATCCAATAAATGTTTAGAAGATTATTATTTTGTGATAAGTCTTGCAAAATGAATGTTGCACTAAAACTTGCAGTTCAGTTGACTTTTGCAACCTGAAATTGACTTGTTGCAATCTGAAATTCACTTGTGTGAATTTCAGCACACAAGTTCAGAAGGCAGACACAGCATTTCATATTCTTGGCTTCTGAGCTCTCCTCTCCCACGTTTAATTTTTCGTGTTTATACATAGAGAAAATATTAACTTTTTATATACTATAAATATATATATTTTTAAAAATTGTCAATTAAAATAAACTTTTTCCTGCTTCTATGCAAATTACTCTTTGCAGTAAGGAAGTAGTTTGACACTGTTGACACTGTTTGCCACTTTTATTTACATAAATTTATTCCATATGCAGAACTTAGTTTCTTAAGAAGTTCTTACCTTTCTCCAAAAGCATTTGTCATAGTCATTAGATTGGTCTTATGATATGAGCGTCCTTTGATTTTTTGGATATTCATAATTAAGTGAAATCAGCATCTGGAAAGAAAAAAAAAGTCTTTGGATAAGCCTCTTAACTGCCATCTAAATGCACAAACTGTCCTGGTGGTGCTTTGAATGAACAAAATGAGCAGCCTACTAACATGTAGATCAATTAAAAGTCTGGTAAGAGCTTCATGCCAGAAGCAAAATAGGTGCGGGCTGAAGTGCACTTTTATGTCCCTGCTGCCTCAATTCGAAAATATGCTGCTTTTTTCATGTGTGGTTACTGTTTTAAAAGAGCAGTTTGATCCACCATTATGTAGCCTTAGTTTGTTCCTTGATACAGAGGAGGATTCTAGACACAGGTTGCCGCTCCGTCTGCTTTTATGCATATATACATGTGTTTAAAAGTGTTGTAGTATGACATGTCCAATCCAATCAAGTAGGAATACTTTTTCAGTTTCCACTGGTTAAAGTTGGATCTCAAGCTGAAATATGACTTAATAAATTAACTGCTGTAATACTAATTTTAATTGAAGTAAATTTAGAATAATTTGTCATTACTATCAGGCTATTTAAAAGATGTTTAGAATTAGTATAAAACCGGGTCGTTGAGTGTGTATAGCTTCCCAGCTATTATCTGGATCTCAGATTATATTAAAAAAAACTTGCTAACTGTGTAATTGAGTCTCCATTTTATCTGCTTTTAGAACATTGGGCTGGGTTTTGGTTGTTTGGTTGGGTGTGTGCAGTTTTTTTTGGGGAATAATGGGAGTGGTATTCTTATATAAAACCAAACTTATAAAGATGTGCTCAGTGTTCACCACTCCATAACTTTCTTTTTAATAGGTGCTTGTATAAGTCAGCTTAAGTCTGTGTACCTTGACAAAGCTCTTCAGAAAACACAAAATTATTCTAAGCAAAACAGGAAGCATAATTCTCCATGTACCTGAGGACATCTAACAGAGATAGGAAAAGTGCCAAGAGTAAGATATGTTGGAGAAATCTGAGTAAGGAGATATGTTTGTATATACATGTAAACATGGTAAGCCATGCACAGTGATGAACAGGAGATCAATTGCTAAATGTGATCATTCCCAGGACAAATCACAGGATGTCAGTCTCTGTTGGGCTGTGTTGGGAATATAGAAGGCAAATTGTGCCCTTGGGAAAAGAATGTATTGACTTGTTTGGTCTGTCTTGTGAAGTGTGTTTGAGAATTAAATTTACTAAGAGGGCTTATTCTGCTTCTGAATCACCCTTTGCTGCCAGTAATGTTTCCTGATAAAGCAAAACAGATCACATGGAGAGGTTTTGCAGTTTCCATACCTGAACATACTTAAAACCCAGCTGGAAACAAGCCTAAGAAGTCTGCTCTAGCTGACTTCTTCAACAAGAGTTGAACGAGGTAATCACCAGAGGTCGCTGCCAGCTTCAGCTGTTCTGTGGTTCAGTTAAAACAGGGAAGAAGCTTCATGAGCACTAGAATTTTCCATGAAAATAACTAACTTTGTGTTATCAGCATGGATTTTTCTTTTCCTTTCAGATTGGAAGTTTTCTGAGAATTTACAGTATTCATGCGAAACAAGCAAGCACTGAAAATGAAGATGTCTCACCTATGGAATTTCATCTTCATGGTGGCACCTGTTATGGTCGAGGAATAGGAGTCTTGCCAGAAAGTAATCCAGATGTTAAGGAACTAAAAGAGTAAGTAGTATGTGTAAATGTTTGGTTTTCTCTAGATCATTCTTGAAAACTCTAGGCTAATGTAACAGCTGTACAGTTTAGAATTGTAAATGTTTCTAAGAATCAGAAACTCAAACAGAATTTAGCACCACTAAGATGAGAAGTATTTGGAGGGATAGCTAAATAAAGGCAGTTATTTTCAAATTTAAAATACAGTTTAAAATTCAAATCAAGATTTCAGTTTTAATTAGCTTCATTCTAATTATGCACATTTAAAACCTGTGCATATGTGCTACTTGAAAATGGCGAGATTTAAAGATGTTCACAATGAAGCAGATAATTTACATTCTTTACTAAGCTGTCTTATAAGGAATCAGAATAATTTAGGTTGAAAAAGACCTTTAAGATCATCAAGTCCAAATGCAAGCCTTTTCCAAATGTCCCACTAAACCATGTCTCTAAGTGCCACATCTGCATGACTTTAAAACACCTCCAGGGATGATGACTCTTACCTGAGCTGCTTTTTCCAATGCTTGACAAACCTTTCTGTGAAGAAATTTTTCTTAACACCTAATGTAAGCCTCCCCAGGCACAACTTGAAGCCATTTCCTCTCCTTCTGTCACTTGTTGCCTGGAAGAAGAGGCTGACCCCCACCTCAATAAAACTTCCTGTCCCCTTGTTGTAGAGATGAGTGTTAAGGTCCCTCTCTGAGCTACCTCGCCTCCAAGCTAAGCCATCCCAGCTCCCTGAGCTGCTCCTCACAGGAGTTGTGCTCCATGCCCTTCACCAGGTCCTTTTTGGCTGAGCCTCTTCCCAGCCACTCTTTCTCAGCCTGTGGCACTGCATGGGGTTGCTGTGACCCAAGTGCATTTCACCTTGTTGAACCTCATACACTTGGCCTTGGCCGTCAGTCCAGCCTGTCCAGACTGCTCTGCAGAGCCTACCTGCACTCCAGCAGATCAAAACTCCTTCTCAACCTGGGGTCATCTGCAAACTTACTGAGAGTGCCATGCCCTCAGTCACCTTGCTCTCATTGGTATAGATACTAAACAGAACTTACCCCAGTACTGAGCCCTGGGGAACACCATTTGTGAGTTGCCACCAGCTGAAGGTAACTGCATTCACAGATCAAAACTCCTCCTCAACCTGGGGTCATCTGCAAACTTATTGAGGGCGCCATGCCCTCAGTCACCTTGCTCTCATCATTGGTATAGATACTAAACAGAACTGACCCCAGTACTGAGCCCTGGGGAACACATTTGTGAGTTGCCACCAGCTGAAGGTAACTGCATTCTCCACCACTCTCTGGGCTTAGCCATCCAGCCAAATATGGACCTGTCCCAGCCATGACAGCCAGTTTCTGCAGGAGAGTGCTGTGGGAAACAGTGTCAAAGGCTTTACTAAAGTCCAGGTAAACTACATGCACAGCTGTTTCCTCATCCACTAAGCAGGTCAGTTTGTCATAAAAGGAGATGAAGTTGGTCAAGCAGGATGTGTCTCATAAACCCTGACTGGCTGTGTCTGATCCCCTGGGTATCCTTCATGTGCCACATGATGGCACAGAGGGTGATCTGCTCCATCACCTCCAGCACTGAGCTCAGGCTCACAGGCCTGTAGTTCCCTGGATCGCCCCTCTGACCTTTCTTGTAGATAACCATCTGCATTCTACTGGGACCTCCTCACTTACCCAGGACTGCTGATAAATAATAGAAAATGGCTTTTTGGGTGCTTGTGCCGGCTCCCTCAGTATTCCTGTGTGGATCCCAGCCAGCCCCTTAAACCTGTGTAAGTGGTGTAGCAGGTCAGTGACCATTTCCTCTTAGATTATGGAGACTTCATTCTGCTCCCCATCCCTGTCTCCCAGCTCAGGAGTCTGGAAACTTAGAAATACTTGGTCTTATTAAGACAGAGGTAAAGAAGGCATGGAGTACATTGGCCTTTTCCTCTGTCACTGTTTCCCTCCTCATCCAATAAGGGTGGAGATGCTCCTTAGCCCTCCTTTTGTTGATGATATATTTGGAGAAGCTATGTTTGTTGTCTCATATAGCAGTAGCCACATTAAGTTCTAGTCAGATTTTGGTCTCCTAATTTTATGCCTGCATAAAATCCTTGTAATCTTGCTGAGTGACCTGCCCCTTCTTCCAAAGGTTATTAACTTTTTTCTTCCTTAGGAAAGGCTAAGTAACTGAAGTCCACATCCCATTATCAGGAATTCTGTTTCCAGTAGTACATATTTCTTTTGGCACTATTTTGTGTTCAGTGTTCCAGAAGTGATTTGGAAATTGTCTCGTCTGCATCATTAATATCTTCTAAAAATTCTGGTTCAGTAGAGTTTTATGTCTGAACATTATACCTGTATCTTGATAGTAAATAGGTTTCATGTAAGTGTCCATGTAATCCCATATATATATATGTGTGTGTGTGTATGATTATATATAAAAAGATTTCTCTAGATTATAAAATATTTTGCCATTTATCTTTAGATTATTAGAATCTGTGGATCTGACAGACAGTCAGAATATGGAAAGCATGTGTTCAATGGACATAGACAGCACTTTTGGCAATGTTACAGGTAAGAGCAACTGAAAGCTGATTTGCTCTTTCTTTATATACGGTCAAGATAAGGTCACAGTTACTGCTTCTTTTTGTGTGTAATGCTACTTTCACATTCAAAGCCCTAGAGAATTCTTTCAGTTTAGTAGACTGGAAATTTACATTACTGTTTCTTGTCTTCTAGCACAAGCATTTCATATTACATGGAAAGATACTTTTGTAGGAGTTAGTGAATAAATTCTTAAACACAGATGGTGTTCTTAATCATACTATAGTAGATCACAAAGCAGAGTTATGTAAGTGCTTCCCTCTAAAGGACGATTCTGCAGGGACAGGCACTGAAATGCTACTAAACAGCTGTCTGTTGAGGAGCCCTTCTTAAGCTGTTGGATGGAAAGTTGTGTCAGTGGCAGAGGTGTAAGATGCATTTCCACGGAACAGTAATATCTTATTGATTGTTTTTCATACCCCATATTATTTTCTGAATGGTATTTTTAGCTCAGGATAAGAATAACTAAAAGGGAATTAAACTCTAAAGCTGTTTGGACATAGGCTATATCTTTGCTTCTAGCTTTTAAAAATCTGTGTTACTCAGCCATTATTAACATAAAAACATAGGATGTTTCTAAAAGGATGCAAAAGTCAAGAATAAGTAAAAAAGTCAAGAATAAATAAATGCTTCATGTCCAGTCCATACATGAAAATTTAGAAAAAAATTTGCACCTATTTACTGCACTCTCTTTGTGTAGTAGAGGTTGTTCAGAGAGGGGACCAGGCAGTCTGTATTGGTCTTTGTGTTCCTGTTCAGAAAGATTACAGGGGATGAATTCAATTTATGTCAGCAGATCATTCACAGTGTACTTCTGAAAAGTGTTCACTTTGATAAGCATTCCTATTTAATGTATTTGCTAACATCCCCTCTAATATATTAACTCTTGATATGCAATATATGTCTCCTTCTTACTTTTGCTGCTTTTTTTTTTGTTTGTTTGTTTGTGATTGTATTGTTTTCATACATTATTGGGATTTTCATTTGTTCAGCATTTGGTTTGGTGTATATCTACGTGTCTATCTACATGCCTACCTGTTTGTATGTGTCCATATGTATGTCCATATGTCCATTTTTATATGATAAAAAAGAAAAGAAGGAAGGAAAATAATTAGCAAATTCTTCTTTATTTTAGATCTTGAATTGCACTTACAGAGATGTCAGCAGTTATCTGTTACAGGTAGGTAACATTTTGACCTTAAGGTGAATTTTAATCTTGCTGAAGTATTAAGGTGAAGTTTAATCTTGCTGAAAAGTAGTTTTAAAACATTATCTTAAAGGTTATTATAGGAAGAGCTATTCTAAGAGTATAAATTCCAAGAGTATTTATGCATGTATGTTGTACTGGGTTTGTTTGTTGTTTAAAGGAATAGAGCATGTTTGTATATTCTACTTTCACTTGGTTTTGGACATGTTGTGTTTCTGTATCCTGAAGTGCACCATGCTCCCACAGCCTGATGTGATTTATCTTACTGTCTGTAATAACAAGTTCTGCTGATTAAACTAAGCCTGCAGCTGGGAAGGAAAGAAGAGTTGGAAATCAGGAGAAGTGCGTACCTGCGATTGCCACTTCTGGTATTACAAATATTATGATGATTAATAGTAGCGTGGTGCTTTTTCATCTCTCTGTGTATTGTTTTGCAGTATTAACAGATCATCAGGATTTGAGTAACACAGAACTGAAAACCATAACAAACAGCACAGCTCCTCAACAATATCGCATTAGAGCAAAGCTGAGAACTTACAAACCCCAAAAGCTCCATCAGTCTGTTAAACTGCATTGTTCCAAATGCAACTCTTTGTAAGTGTTTTGCACAGTATAAGTAACTGGGAATTGCTCTGTATGTTTCGGGATGCCTAGATTTTCAGTGTGTTTTCAACTTCTTTTGTGTTAAGCTCAATGAAATTTAGATCATTTTGTGCAAAGATTTATAAGCTGAATGAAATTTAGATCATTTTGTGCAAAGATTTGAAACTCACTGATAATAAGTAGAAAACTTTTAAATCATCAGGTGAGTTCCATTTATAGAATCCATTGAGTGCTTTCAAAACAATAATTTTTCTTTCTTTGCAAATTCAGCAGTACAGTTTTTTCCATACTATAGTTGTATAGAAATATCTTAAGTGTTTCTTTATTGGAGTTTTAAAATAGGTTATGCAAAGAGTTATAATAGTCTCCAAACAGATTAATAAAATATCTTTGACGAAAGTGCATCTTCCAGACAAGGCATCTTTTCTGGATCCAAAAATATCAGGGAATTCACACAACTTCAGGCCATTCCCTTGGATCCTATGACTGGTCAACACGGAGAAGAGTTCAGTGCCTGCCTCTCCTCTCCCCTCAGGAGGAAGTTGTAGACTGTGATGAGGTCTCCCCTCAGTCTCCTCCAGACTGAAGAGACCAAGTGACTTCAGCTGCTCCTTATACAACTTCCCCTCAAGACACTTCACCATCTTTGTTGCCCCGCTGTGAATACTCTCAGAGACCTTTTACAACCTAATTGATTCTGTAATTTTTGTGTAATTTGGATGGCCTGCATTACTGCTTCTCTGTGTATGACAAGTGGAAGTGCATGAGTGGTGCACTCCAGCAGGACAGGATAGAAACTGAGGTGCAGAGTTGCAGATTCTCCCTTCACAGAACTTATGTGAGGCTATCCTGGTCCTGTCCTTTTTTTTCTTTTTTCTCCCTCAGTTTCTACAAAGTCAAACAGACTAACACATAAAAATTGAACAAATTACATAAGTTTATGTAGTCTTTTCACTCTAATGATGTGGTGTCCCTTTTAAGGCCCAACTGAAATCACATAAAGCTGATAGATTTGGTTTTCCAAGGATTTTCATTTGTGTGGGATGTAGCCACTAGGCTGCCTCTGCTCTTAGGTAGGTTAGCATATTACTTAGTGTGTTTATTAACATGGAAAGTCATAATAGACTATACAACTCTTAATGTTTAAACTGATAAAACAGTGAGGATATTCCTGTCTGTCCTTTGACTCTCATGACTATATTCTAATATTTATTTGGAGTACTGTCGTCCTTGTTGGTAGATTGCCTAAGGAGAAGCTGTTAGAACATACTTACTCAATTTTTTAGGCAAGAAGTTCCAGATAGAGAAGACTTTGACTTCATTTTACACAGCTCTGCCAGTACTGCCCCAAACCCAGAATTACACAATACATCCTGGTATGAATCTGTAACATGGACTACACAAGAGCAGAAACAGAGGGAAATAGCCATCCATTTTGTGAAGCATGATGAAATGCTTCAACATCCTGAGAACACCTTGATAATGATAGAAGGTAAGGTAAATTGCAAATACACCAATTCTTCCAGCACTGTCCACTCTGTGTACAAAGTAAAGATGTGTTGAAGTTGTATTCAGTACAAGTAGTGATGATCATAGAGGTATCTTCACAGAAAAGAAAAACTGAGCTGGAACTATAAGTTACTGTTGTGCAAACAGGAGATTGTAGTCTGTAAAGGTCTTATAAGCTGCTTCTGTCTATTTTTAAATTGTGCCAATATTGTTTATTGTAGATTATGCTAAAATTAACATCTGAATGGGGTTTGGTTTTTTTGCTATCTGTGCTTACTTATTTGTCAGTTCTGATTTAAAAACTTGCCAAGTCTTCTAAACAAGCCTATTTTTAGTACTGATGTAGAAACTTTTGAAAGGCTTCTGGTAATACAAGCCTCCAATTAAATTTGTCAGCCTCTGGATGTCAGTGTTGTTTCAGATTAATAGAACTTCTCTCATTTGTTTTTTTTTTTTTGGTTTGGTGTGGCTTTTATCAGATCTCCTCAGGAAAGAGGAATAGCCACTGACCTTTAAACAAAGCGATTTAGCAAGAATACTATTGAGGAATTTTTATATAATAAAAATAATAAATTGCATATAGCACTGTTCAGAGTTCAAAACAAAGCCTTCAATTGTGCTCAAGCAGTGATGTGAATAAGCAAATGTAAGTCAGGTGGTCCTTTGTGTGAGGGTCAATTACAAAACCCCTTGTGTTTTCTGCTTTCTTTTATAATGAATTAGTTCTGATAGCTGCTTTATTTCTGACGTGTTCCCGACTGACTTCAATCTAACCTTTTCTTTCTGGGAAAAAGAAATCTATTTCTTCTCTATTTTCCTAGAACAGCTGAGCAATAAAACTCAGTAAATCTATTTTCAGATATTAAAGTGTCAGCAACTAAGTATGTCTGTGTATGGATATGTGCATGTAAAAGGTCAGTTCTTTGATTTTTTTTTCTAAGAAAATGGCTAGTAAAATCATAGTAGTAATTATATGAAAGTGATGTTAACTAAGTACAACCTCTTGGTTATAGTGTTAGCTATGAGGAAGATATTAAGGCATCTGCTTTGATAAATGTCCATCTTTGTTTCTTAATTGAGACTGTTGTTGAATAAAAGTGAGAAGGTATTGGACTCTTTTTTGAGTTTTTGGTAGTGGATATAAATTATTATTGAAAGCTCTGAAATCAGCTGAGTAGTTGTTCAATTTATTTCTGACTACTGTTTAAGGCACCATGTTTTTTTGGCTTTTAATAGGTGGAACATTAAAAGAAATCTGGAAACTTACAAAAAGATTCAAGTGCGTTATTCCTGTGAGATCCACAGAAGATGACCTTGAATTACTAGATCTTTCAGCTCCTTTTCTTCTAAAAGGGAATGTAAAATATTATGGGTAGGTTAAAAGTATTTGTTGATATTTCACTAGTTGCAATAATAGCTAGCATTTTCTTCAATAGTTCATTCTGCAGTGCTTGAAGTGATAATTAACCCAAAGATTCTCTGTAAAATACATAGCATGATCTATAGAACTGACATCAGGGATGTAATGCCATATCATCTGATTCCTGGTATCAAAGGACTGACTGCAGTTTAGCTCTTGATCTATAACTCTTACACAGCACTCCACTTTCAGTATTGTCTGTGGTGCATGGGCTGGGCAGTGTGCTGTGGAAGTGGAAACACACATGGAGTGCAAAGTACCTAAATACCTCTTCTTGTTCAGATCTTCCATCTTCTGGTCTCATTTAGACTGAAGTCAAAACATATGTTGTTTTTAAAACTGTGTGTATATATGTATATATATACACACACAACATAACAGATAATATTTAAATAGCCTGTCAATTTACAAGTCATTCTCTCTTAGTGTTGGGAAAGCTTGAGGTTTGGAAGCAGTAAGGGATTTTGGACAGCCTCTCTTACCATTTGTAACTTACTGTGATCCACAGCACTGCAAAGTGCCTTACCTGTTGGTGGATGTCATTCACTGTAGAGATGACTTCAACAGGTTTCTGAATTCCACAGTTCCAAAGCTGTGGAATACAGTACCCACACCTAGGCCTGGTATGTGTGATCTGCTGTGCAGTGCCATGTTCCTGCTCAGTGAGAGCTGTCAGCAGTGTGTCCCCCCCTGAGCTGCTGAGCTCAGAAATACCAATCTCCTCCATGCAAGCTGCTGAGTAGTAGCAGTTCAGGCAGAGCACTGTGCAGTGGGGAGCTATGCTGGGTCTGCAGGCAGTAAAAACATTTCCATGCAGAAATATTCCATGTTTCCTGTGAACCCTAAAGTTTCCCATAAAGGGCCATCCATAAAATGAATACAGATAATGGTTTCTCTCTGTATATATAGTTTTGACCTTTACAGGTACTGCTGTCTACAGCTTTTTTTAATAAAGGCAGTATATGGGTGCTCCTACTGGGACAGGATCTTCACCAATACAAAGTATTTGTACTTTGCTTGTACTTTCATAATCCATACCCTTATATTTCTCCAGCTATACACAACTCACCTTCAGACGTTGCTCTCTTTGCAAATGGTTGGACTATAAAAGTAAATGGTTTGTAAAATATTCAAGAAGGAACCTCACAAATATGCTGACATTTCAGAGTTATGTTTCATGCCCATTTTTATCAGTGGCATATACTTAGCAAAGTCTAGGAAAGGTTCTGTATGGAAGAATGAATTATATGTGTGTGCATTTGCATGTACATTCATTTATATATAAAAATAAACACAGACACACTACATATAAAAAGCAAAATTCACAGTTAAATTAGCTTATTGGAGTTTGAGTGGGTTTTTTAAAGGAAAAAACTTACATCACTTAACTTTATATCACTTAAGCAGAAGTAGTTTTATTAATTTTTATTACATTCTTTGCATATAATTCTAAAAGATAATAAATGTTATTTCAAGCTCTAACTGTAATATACTACTATGGAAACTTAATTTGGAACAAATTCGTTTTGTTCTGTAATTCATTCCTTGAGGTAAATGGGAGCAACTTTGAAAATAGTTCTTCAATATTTCCACCCACTTGCAGCATCAGCTTACTGTGTCACATGTAAATTTTATAGTAATTGATGTAAATACGGCAGGAGTAAAATAGTTTGTTTTAACAACTCTCAGTTAATATTCTCAGCATAGGGAAAGCCAAATTTCCCCTGTAACTCTGTAATGGGTTTAGAGTATGCTACAAGTTCAGATTCATTACTGCTTTTACAAAGTGAGAAGTAGTGGCATATGAACATATGTTTAGCAGTGTCATGATCTTAGAATCATAGAATGGTTTGTGTTGAAAGGGACCTCTCATGATCCCAATCCATCCCTCTGCCTTGGGCACAGCCACCTTGCACTACACCAGGTGGCTCAGCTCCATCCAGTCTCATCTTGAGGTATGGGGAAGTATACCTTGAGGTGTACTTCCAGGTATGGGGAAGCCACAGTGTTTCTGGACAGCCTGTTCCAGAGCCTCAGCTCCTTCTTTGTGAAGTGGTTCTTCTTGCTGCACAATGTACATCTAAACAACAACAGTTTAAAAATGTTGCTCCTTGTTCTTCACTACAGGCCCTGGCTAAAAGTCTCTCTCTGTCTTTCTCATAAGCTCCTTTTATATATGGAGAGGCCACAGTAGGGTCTCCCCAGAGCCCTCTGTTTTCCAGGCTGAACAATCCCAGCCCTCTCAGTCTTGATGGTACAGTTTAATTCCTGTCTAATCACTGAAATAGTCATTTCCATATTTATTTCTCCTCATGGATAGTTCAAAAACAGCATTAAGAAGAAATACCAGAGAGAGGCCACAGTAGGGTCTCCCCAGAGCCCTCTGTTTTCCAGGCTGAACAATCCCAGCTCTCTCAGTCTTGATATACTGTTTAATTTCTGTCTAATCACTGAAGTACTCTTTTCCATATTTATTTCTCCTCATGGATAGTTCAAAAACAGCATTAAGGATTTTGTTGTGCTCTAAAGCTGGTGTGTCTGGTAAAATAGGTACTTCAAGAAGCAATAGAAATACTTCTGTACTTCCACTGTGTAAAAAAAAATCAGAGTTTTGGTTTTTTTCTGTGCAGAACACTTCTAGTTTGGTTATTCTCAATATCTTCAGTTTTGGTTTTTTTCTGTGCAGAACACTTCTAGTACAAATACATCAATGTTTGGTTATTCTCAATATCTTGTTTTAAATGCTAGGTGCAAGCAGTGTTCAACTCCAAAGCCTATGAAGAATCTAAGTTCCATTGCAGCAGAACAGCAGCCATCATGGGAACCAGCTGAAATAGCACAAGGTTAGCTAATGTGATACTGTCCTGAAATACTTTTGTGTCTTGATTCTGAAGTGTTCATGTGAAACAGTTTGACTTGCAGTTCTGGGTTGCAGTTTTGTACAGAAAGCATGTAATTATGGTCATGTTGAAAATGGTGCTGTAAAATTCATTCACCTTTTACCAGTTGAAATAACATAGTTACTTCTGGACCTATTCCAGTATGAATTAAAAGTATGAATATGTTGACTAGTTTCTTTTACCATTGGTATCATTAGTAACACTTATGATAGTGCAGATGTCAAGAATTTTTGATTGTAGATCTTACCTTTAAACTGTACATACTTGCAGAAGTTATTCTTGCTTTTCCTTTTGTAGATACTGTTTTTCTGACCTGAACTAAAGACAGTCATATTTAATGGCTCCTGCAAGTTACTTTTATCTTCTGTAAACTTCATGTTCCAGAGAGTCTGCAAGAAAAAATACTCAAATGAAAGGAATTATTCCACAACAATTATGTGTATTCTGTGCTTCATGTGTTCCTTGTGTTACTATATGCAGTCAATGTGTTAAAATTAGGGAAATGGAGTTTAAAACTTCACAATGCATTAAGGAAAAAAGATATTTGCATGTTTATCAATTCATGTTCTAGCATATTAAGTTATATCTATCATATCTAGCAGTATATCAGTTTGGTAAGCACTTTCTAAAAGAAGAAAACTATTTGAGCAATACAGTGATTTTCTTAAACTTTCATAATTGTATCCTTTTAAATAATTGTGAAGTAATATTTAACTGGCAATGTTTGAGATTTAATTCTCAAAATGAAAACAGTATTATTAATGCTTGTAGTAATTACATAGCTTCTGAACAGAGAGAGACATAGTTCTCCCAGGATTTTAGAAGCTGTGGGAAACTTAGAGGAAAGAATTCAAACAATTATTATCTCTCTTTCTGTAACCATTGTTTGTAGATATAGTTCTCCAGAGTGTGCTATTCATAGTTCACCAATACTGTGAGAGAAGATTCTTAAAGGCCAGTCAGGTCTTAGGACCACCATTCTGTCAGAACTGTAGATTTCTAATAATAAAGTGTCTTTTCATGCCTTTTGATGATGGAGTCTCTATCACCTTTGGCTGTCCCCAGTACCCCTTCAATGATAAATGCTTTCCTGACAGTTACACTATTTGATATATATTTTTCTTCTGTCAGCTGTATTTTGAGTCTAAATTATAAACCTACAAGTCTATCAGATCAATTAAACATAAAATTACTTCCAGTTTAAGTGGGTGTACCCAGAAAAGATTGATGCAGAGCAAGAATAGTTTCAGGACTGCCAGCAAAGTTTGTTTTTTTTTTTTCTGAACAAGCCTGGTAGCTTTTACTACATCATATCAAGTAAACTGTTTTCCTCAGAAGATAGTTAATAGTTTAATTCTTATTTCCACTGAATTAAGAGCACCTCTCCTTTAATCTCCCATGGATAAAAGAACACAGGAGAGGAGGATCCTACTAAGATCAGATCTAAGATCTAAACAAATATTATATTTTTTTGTTCACTAGCATGGGAATAAGTACTTTAAAAATCTATGTGTTTTTATAGGCTCATCTATTAAAATGTTTCTAGGAAAATTGTAATGTGGTCTCAAGGGATAAATTACATTTTGCTGTCAGACATCAGAGCCTCTGTGTTAATTTATACTTCTAATGACAGTATTCAAAGTCAGTTGCTATTAAAAGTGGGATATTGTCAGCTTTAGTTGTTGTAGATTGCCTTGCATATTCTCTCAGAGAAATATCAGTTTTTCTTTCCTTCAGTTTTAGGTATTGAACTGCTCCAGTATGTTTTTGTTATGAAGTTTACACTGGTTGATGAAACAGGATCACTAAATGCTTACCTTTTTGATCATGTAAGTAAATCTAGGTAAAGGTAGACTTTATAGATGATGTGAGTTCAGATTGTATTTGTTTTTAAATGGCATATGTATGTGCACAAATATTCATTCTATGTTACCTGCAGTGTTTTGTGGTAATAATTACAATATTATAAGTTAATACTGTACAGAGTATAGAATATTAAAGCACAAAGACAAAACTGAAGCTTGAAGATAGATTATTTTGTATTTCCATAAACTTTTATATATTTCTTTAGCTGAATTTCTCTTTTATTGGCAATGTTAAATTATGCAGCCTGAATGCTGTGTGAATGATAGGAATGTTTCAGGATTTATGCAGCCAACTTCTGCATCAGTTTAAAGTCTCATTACTTATTTTTTTAACTCTCAGTAGAATCTCTCCATTCAGTAATGCTCAGGTTTTTTTTGTTTCACATGATCATGAGGTAAGGATGCTCTCTTTCCCTAGGCAGCTATATCTGTACAGATATTTGTCTTGGATTTCAGAAGCAGTTTATTCAATTACTTTACTAACCTTAGAATGAACCTATCTTCAGTTTTCTCTGAAGTAACTTAAGACCATTCCTGCTACCTGAGACACTGAAGACTGGATGGTTTTCCTGGCATGGCAGTGTGGGTGTGACAAAATGGGACGGAAAAAGAATTTGGTGGGACTTTTTTCTGCACAGTAGTGTTGTTTAATGTGTATATATTTGCACATTTTCCACCATTATATTAAATTACTTTGAGTGGGACTTTAAAGAGAATTCTCTTCCTTGTTTAATTTTATTACTGTAAGTAAAAATAATATGAAAAAATATGTTCTTTCATAAAATACATGATGTTTTAGCAGCAAAGGAGATCAAAGACTACAATCCCCATTTCAGCCAGTCATCTTTTCCTTTTACTGTCTATTTTCCTTTCTATATAAAGAAAAATAAAACTGCAAAATGAAGTTGAGGGAAAAGATTTAAGCCATCTCTTGCTGCAGAATTCAAAAAATTTTTACTTCAGGGTGGCTCACTTTGTTAACAGATGCTGCTCAGTACTACAGTTTAGCTGCAGGAAAATACCCACAGTTTCCTCTGAAGTGGCAGCTGCTCACATTCCTGCTGGTGGTGCTTCAAAGACAAGGCAAGAGTTTCCAAACTGCAGTCCTTCAGCACCACCTGAGAAGGAACTGGGCTGCTTTGAAGTGCAGCTTTACATTGGCTTCCAGTTGCACTTCCATAAGAAGACAGTGCTTTTCTTTCCTCCCCTCCTTACAGGAAAAGTCAGTGAAGGAAAAAAATGAAAAAGTTTTATAGTCAGAAGAAGGCTGAAGAGAGAGAAGAGAAAGTTATCTGTGTCATTTTTGCTGCTGGATTGTCCACTAACTTCTGATCATTGTCATTAAACATGTCATACAAAGATTATACAGAGGCAGATTATTCTGTATTTATTTCTTTTAACAATAATGAGAAATTACTACCAAAAATCTTAGCTCACCATGAGAGGTTGTAAGATGATGAGCCTTTAGACATCCAAAATCAGTTAACAAACTTGGAAAGAATAAACTTGGAATTTTTTTCAGTCATGCTTAATGTATGTAGTTTAATAATACACAGAAAATGTTTACTTAACATTTTAATGTCCCATTTATTATTTTCTGTCTCCATTCAGAAGTGTACCCCACAGTATAAGCCTTTTTTCTATAGTTTCTAAAACTACCAGCAAATGAAACTTGCACTAAGAGAATGCCACAAATATAAAGCCAGGTTGCAGTGCCCCTTGTTTTCAAGTGATTTGGTTGCTCTCAAGATGTGAGGGACTGTTGAGGGGCACTGACCATCCTCTCTGGCCCTAACATTGCCTGATACTGTGTGGTTGTGGAGGTTCATGAGGAATATCTGCCAGTAATGTGTAGAGACTTATATATATGTGCTTTCTGGGTGGCCGTAGTCCCTGAATACTCAGGGGTACTGAAAAAAAGAGCGTTAATTTTTTTCAGACAGCTTGGGTTTTTTTCTGTATCCAAACAGGTTTTTGAAACAATACTATTCTTCTGTTGTGTTACCTGATTTTAAATTCCTAAAAGAACACACAATCAAGGTTCTGGCTAATGGTTTTTTACACCTCTTTAACACCTCATATTCTTCTGTTCTCTTTCAGGAGAAGTTTTTCCAAATTCCTGCCTCTGAAATCTTAACTAATAATTTTCTTCAGCAAAAGATGCAGATGACCATGAATGCGCTCTGTCCTCCAGGAAGAAAATTAGGTCAGTCTGCTGTTATTTTAAAAGGGGGGGGTGGGAAAGGAAGCAGTCTTTCAATCTGCTACTGCATATGAAAAGTCAGAATTCAACTTAAGCACAGGCAAAACTCAATACAGAAAAATGCTGGAGCCTGAAAGCAAGGTTCATGTTAATTTGTTCTGAAGCATGTCTTTTATATTAACTCTACCTTTGAGAAGGAAAATAAATGGTCCATTAAATTGTCATGTAGCATGCAGTGGTGTGTGAATACAGTCATGCCTGTGCAGCCACTAACATGCCATCTGTATTCATGGAAGTTAACCAGAACACCCTGTACTGAATGTCACAGCATGTTAGGGAAAATGGAAAGGAAATTCCGTGAATGGCACATGCTTTGGGTGATGTCCTACTTTTGATTGCACATGCTGACTTAGAGCATCCCTTGCAATGGGGAATATCCATGGAAATGGAACAATGCTTAATCCAAATCCATTTACAGATATTTTTGTGCAGTATATGTGTTGTGGCAGAAAGTAGCTCTGCCTAAACTACACATGTCCAAGGTAGATGGATGTGTGATGCAGCTCCAACCTCCAGAGCATACTCCAAGTACATGGCTTGTGTCAGTGACCACTGCTATTACCCTGGAGTCTTTGCCATACTTTAAAAAAGTTCTCCTGTAATAAAGATTGTAAAGGATTTTCCCTTTGAGACCAGTGAAATTGTCTCATTGCGACACGTGGAGATGAAGTTTTATTATTGGAAAGTCTTTACATATATGTATTTTATACTGTGGTACGACTACTGGGTCCAAGTGTTCTGTGGAGTGCTGGTGCAGGGAGGACAAGTCTTGGAAGTCTGTCACTGAACACCATTTCAGATCTTGTGGGAAACTTAAAAGATACCAATTGGAATTTCAAAGTTAACAATTTTTCTTCACATTAACTATTGTATACATTTAGATATCCTGGTTAATATCTTGCTCAAGTTATATTTGCCTCCTATAAAAATTGGAAATGAATATTGAACAGTAATTTTGATTTTGTTGGTAGGTGACTTGCCATGGCTGGAATGCTTCATCAAGTCTTATAATGTCAGAGACGCAATGAAAAATCAAGTTTATTACCAAATTTTTGACACCACAGTTGCTGAAGATGTTGTATAGTCATGTGTTGCTAATTGGAAGTAATACAGTAAGCATCAGTTTCTGTGGGGGGCTGGGATCAGAGACTGTATTAAAAAAAATACCTTTTTGTTAGGAACTTAACTTGTTATTATGATTTTTTAGTTTATATATTAATGGGAATGGGACTTATACTTTGATATGTTTGCTCTTTTCCTGGCACACACCTTTGTGATCTAAGGGCAAGTGGAGGTGCTGAGCTTTTCACTGGAAACTGCTTGGCTGAGGTTGATGGAAGCAATCTACTTTCCATCTGTCCTTCAAAAAGGCAGTGCTGAGGTTACTCTATGTTTGTGAATTTTACTCAGAAAAATCTAGTCAGGATGATGCCATGTGTTCATTTTTTTATTAAATTACATCAACAGAGGCAAAGATAAAAAGTTCTTTAGTAAACTCAGAATGCTTTGTGCAAGCCAATATTACTGTTCTCAGCTTCACAGGGAGGTTGGTTTTTAGAGACTTCCTTGATTTTGTACTGATATGTACATTTAGAAAACTCCTCCTGTTAGTAACAGCTACATGTACCTGTTACTGTAGATTCTGAAGGGGTTGTGAACATGACCATGTAGTGATTATCACTAAAATTAAAGTCAATCATGAAGGTAAGGTAGTGTAAAATTGTAAAATGGATATTGATATTTGGTAGATGCTAATGCTTCTGGGGTGGCCTTGTTGGGTACCAAAGGTGTTAGCATGTTTGTTAGCTGGGTCTGTATTTTCAAAGGCTTGATCTGCCTTTTACATCCTACATAATCAGATTGTGTGCCTAAATTTGGAGATACAGAACTGATCTGGTGCTGTCATGGATTGAAAATTCTGCTGGACTAGAAAACTATGTGGTGGTTTTACTTTGCATTCAGAAGTCTCTAGGACAAGTTCAGGACATGTTTCTCTAAGGGTGATTAATGTAGAAATCCCTGTCAAATCAAATGCTTTCCATCAGAGCAAAATTACTTAGTATTTACAGCAGATGTTTTTAAAGAACTTCAGAAGCAAGATGCAATATTTGTAAGTGGATTATTATTTTGATAGTAGATGACATTTTATTTTTTTCATTTTTGGGGGCCATTTAATAGATTATGCAATTTGTCTTAAAATTTCCTCATATATCCTCTGGTAATTTTCTTGTACTGTAAAAATTACACTGGGTTTATATGTCATAAGACAATAAGACAATTTTTCTTTATTGATCTGTGTATAGGGACAATGAATATTTAAAGTGGTGAGTGCACATTTCCTTTAAAAATTTTTTAAAAAATAAAAATATTTTGGAATTGAACTAGCAGTTTATCAGAGTCTACTGACTTAAAATATTTTCTTGAATTTTTACATAAATGCATCAACAAAAAATAATTACAACAAATGAATATTATAAAACTTTAGACACTGGCCATACCCAAGCGTTTTCACAAGTTAGGAGTTAAATTGAAGGGAATTTTCTTTGCCTTTATTTTATATAAGGTATGAAAATGTGGATTTCTTTTTTAGATTTTTTGTTAACAATTCTGAAATATATTGATATTGTACATTTTTCTAAACAAGTCTTTGTAAAGTAATAAATAAAAAGATGTTTTGAACTTAAATGTGAAATAAATCAATTTCACCACATGCCTTGCCTGAGATCCCTTCCTAAACACTACATATGCATGATTTTTTTACCATTGAATATTGTGTTTAAAATTATTCTAATTAAATAAAATGTTCAATAAAGATTCCTCCAAACAATGCGTTTTTTCTTGTATTTGACTTTTATTTCAATTTCATAACTGTGAAAACTTTGTCATCAGTAGAATTATCCAACATAATGCTCCAAATGACTGTATAGTTTGTTGGATTAAAATATACATGTTTCTGTTTCTAAATATAATGCATAGAAATAAATTAATAACTACATATTTGTTCATACTAAGGATCACTGTGTAGGAAGGAATTACTGGACAGACTTTTAAAAATGACTCATTGGTAGTGTTTGTGTGGAGCAGTGGAAGTCACTGAGGTGGGACTTGGACCTTAGTTACTGTCCTGGTCAGTGCTGAGAGCTGTGAGTGTTTGACTGTGGGTGAAATCCTGAGATTGTTGTGTCCTGAACGTGCAGTCTCTGGTTTCTGAAGGATGAGCTTCTTGGGCAGCAATGACTTTCAGCATTATTTACAATTTTCTTAATTACGAACAAAAGTCTTATTTCCTTTGGTGAGTTTCTTGAACAGGTGTGTAAATTTAGTTTCTAAAACATTAATAAAATTTCAAATGTCTACTCTAGTAGTTTTTAAATTACTGAATTATATATTTAAATACACTCAAAATCTGAAACCAACAGGAGATTGGGTTAATACTGGTACACTGAGGTCCAGTGAAAACTCCAGGCATGTCTTGCTGGTTTCACATCTTTCTTCCTCCACATACATTCTAGGATATAGGAAAACTGAATCAAAACATCACCTTCCTACTAGAAAGGGAAAATATGCATGGAATGTGAAGTACATCACACACAGCAACATCATCAAGGGGGAAGAATATCTGAATATAAAAGGAGGAGCTGTGAGGGAGAATAATAGAACTATGAAAAACCAATAAAGGAACATGAACCTATTAATTGCTCCAACTACATGGATAAGTGCAAAAAAAGTGACAATATTGTAATTAAAAGGAAAAAAAAGTGTATTTCCAGGGTAAAAAGAAAAGAAAACAGAATAGTTTTGGAATAGTGTTTTATGGGTCCCTGTGTAATTTGGCTCCTTGAATTCTGTGTTTTGAAGGAATTTAAAAACTTAAGGACTTTGGAAGTCTCCAAATTGAGCTGAGTTTAAGCTCTTGGACATGTCATACTCTTGAAACTCCGGATGGAAAGACAGAATGTAAATAAACATATTGCAGAAACAAGGAGGCATTCCTGGTCAGTGACTGAACTTTCTCATCAGCTTTCGCATTATGGGATCCAGAGATTTACAGACAAGGCTTTGAAATGCTTAGCTTAATGCTAATCCTTTGCCTACTGAGCAGCAGGAAGTGGGACTGTAAGAAGGGCACTGGAGCCCAGAGGATCCAAGCTGAGGTTTGCAACAGAAGGAAGAGAGTTTATTGTCTTAACAGGGATGAGTGCTTAGCTTTTCAATACCAGTGTTTTGGATCACAAGAATTTATGCACTTTAGGTCACTTTTTGGCCAAGATATTGCATTAAGATGTAAAGGTTGCAGGAAGTGGGATACTACTGTATAGGGCAAAGCCAAATATTTAAATGGAGTTGTGAAAAAAATTAAGTAGATATATTTTCAAGTTCTTCAGGTGCAGTGGGACCACTGCAAAAAATGTCATTCAGTGGAAGAGAGAAAAAAAAATCCAAATAAGAATTTATTTATATATTTATTCTGATTTTTTTCAGAGGAAACAGACAAAATTCCAGAGGATAGTAGTAAAAACAATCTTTATGATGATTGGTTAACAATCTTTATGAGAATCTTTTTGGAGATTATTTAACAATCTTTATGAGACAGTTCGCTGCAGTTCCTGTTCACAGCATTTCCTATACATGAAATTCCCAGTAAGAGCTATGGTTTGGGAAAACATTGATCTGATGATGGAATACCAGATCCAAAGTGCATAAAAGATGTGGAGCAGCACTGTACTACAATTAATGAATTCACATTTGTGGTAAAGCTGAGGGTGGACTTCACCCCAGAACAATGTGCTACAATGTATTTTTCCTTGTTTTCTGCTGCAACTCTGATACATGCCTACAGAGGTATTTCCATAAAACTGCTGGTTTGGGACCATTTGTGTACATAAGCAGAGCAAACTGGAAATCTAGGAATAAATGTACATTTAATAGATACTTAATTTAATTTTTTTATAAGGATATATGCTGAACTGTGAAATATGTGCCAGGAAAGAAAAAGGTTTTGAGTTTTGGTTTTGCATTTTTTATATCAGCTGTTCTATTGCACAAAGCTTTAAGCATAACTTTGTTCTGTACCTTCTACTCTGTGTGTGTGCAGCCTGTGGACTGACACTGCTAAACTGACATTGACAAAAAATACAGTTTTGTACAAGCTACACCTTTAGCATTGAGTCCATATTCAGCTATAATTTCAAAGGCCAGCTATCAGATAGTTTTGAATTATGGAAGTGTAACTTCACTGAAAGGAATTCTCTGGATAATGGCAGTTTATAAATGCTGCTTGAATTTTTTCGTTAAAAGAGCAGCAAAACTGAAACTGAAATCTGCTGCTGGAACAGATTTAATTACAGATTTTCTTTCTTTCTTCTTCTGTCTGCAAATGATGCCTTGAGCAACGCAAAGCCCCTCTGAGCAGTGTTTGAAGTGACAAGTATGATCAGTCGCTGACAGGGCGTGTATTAACCAAAGGGACTCTTTATTGTTTTTAACAGGGGTGGGTAGGGGGCTTTCCCCACCCAGCTGTCTTCAGTGCTGTCACTGACATACATTCATTTGCTACTCCCATCTTGGAGGATACACTTTTCCTAACATACTTACTATGCTAAAGGAGTAAAATCCCATTAATAAGAATGGAAATGTGGGAGTGATTGCCTTTGACATAAGCCAGGGAAGTGGAGCTGTCACAGGCCATCTAGGCATACTGCCCTGGGGTCTTCTGTCACACAGAGGTGCCCTGGTACCTGCAGTGTCGTGCTGTCCTGGCTCTGGTCAGGACAGGGGTAATTTTTTTGCTGTAGCCAGGAGCGGGCATGGCTGGGATGCAGAGTTCATTCTGTACCACTTCACATCACTGCCAGGGGTGGGGGGAAAGGGACTCTCTTCTGAGAAGAGGTTCCTTGAAGTGGAGTAAGCAAGGCAGAGCGAGCTCTCTGGTCTACAATCCAGGATTTTTTCCCATGGACATAATTTCTTTTCTTGTACCCTCTGTCCTTAGTATTGTTGCTGTTACTGTTCGTTTTCTTGTTCCCTTGCTGTTTCCAGTAAATTGTTCTTATCTCAAGTTGTGACCTTTGCCTTTTGTGTCTCCAATTCTCTTCCCCATTCTGCTGCAGGGGACGTAGAGGAGAAAATGGGAGAGACAGTGGAGCATGGTTTGGAGAGCCTTGGTGGGGGCACTGACCTGGGAACTGCCATTCCTAAACCGTGACAAATGTGTAAAATCTCACTGCCCAGAAAACTGCATTTGACTTAAAGGAAAACAGCTGCTTACATTACTTGCTGTTTTGTTGAGAGTAAACCAAAGAGCTTTTAAGGAGAAAAGTGAAGAATTGTTTTTTCTACACGTCAGTCAATGCATCTGTTTAGCAACATGCTGTGGCTTGGGTCCTTCTTGCAGGAAATAGAAGCAGAAAAGAACTCTTCAAAACCTTTGTTTGAAGGGTTGGGAAAGGTCAGAAATTACACATGAAGGAACAATGAGGAATGAGAAGTGAACCTTAAATATCTAACATGGCAGTTCTATAAATCAGATATTGTACCTTGCAAATCCTAATGCAGATCTTTTGACTGCCGTGCTCTATATGACTTGATGATAAATAACATTTTGAATATTATTCCAGTCTGTTGGAAGTGATTAACTAGACTAAGTCACATTTATATTTGTAAATTAGTTTAATTCCTCTGGGTCCAGTTACTGGAAATTGTTTTTATCCTTTAAAAACTGTATGGAAAAAGAATTGGCAAAAATACAATATTTGTCATTCATCAAGTGCTAGACCTACTCAGATCACTTTTTCTGGCAAAGATGGTATTCCACAATGGTACCTTTTAAGTGTACCTTTTCACAGCAAGCTTTTCAAGGCAGTTTAAAAATAGCAATAATTTTCAAAACTCATTTGCTCTGCTGTAAAGTCTAGAAAGATGTAAATGTCTGGCCTACTTTTCAATCTGGGTAAAGAGGTAGCTGATGTGATGTGATGGAGCAGGGAATCCTGAACTCTTTTCTTAGGGGCTATGGCAAAGGTACTCAAGCCTCATCTCAAATATCGAGGTCAGTGGCTAATATGTGTCAGAAAAGCACAGAGCTGTACCAAATTCTCCTGTCAAGAGCACGTGCAACAAAGCAAATCAGAGTTGGAAATCAAATGTAATTGAAACTGTCACATGGAAAAATGGGACAGTGATATATTCTGCTTTTAGTAATTTAGCTTTGGTAAAGAATTGTCATCTGAAACTTAAATAGTAAATAAAAACTTAATCTGATGAAAAGCACAACAAATTTCTCAAATAGAGCAGAGGCCCCAGAGGAGGCACTGTATTGAAAAGGGATTTTTTTTTCTTATAGATACCATACAACTGCTTTATACCGTAGCATTACTGATGAAGGTATACATAACAAATTCACAGGTAACCAATTTTCATGTATTCAATATATATTCAACCATAGCTATATGTATGCACCTCTTGGGAGCCATACCTTTATTGAGCTAGGAGTATTGGAATGTGTGGGAAATGCAAGCACAGAGAGCTCCCAAGGCCTCGAATGTACAAGCCCAGAGATAGAGATGGATACAGTGTTTGACCTAAGGCCTTGGAGAAGGCTTGAAGCTTTAGAACAGAAAAGTGAAACAGACACAAAGTAAGAATAAAGATTTGTAGTTTAAGCAGAAATATGTTTTAAGCAAGTAGAAACATGCCTCATATAAGCGAACAAATATGTTAAGCAAGATAGTAGAAAACAAAGTCTAACAATAGCACTTGTTAGAATTGGTAAAAAGTAGAAGATACAGCAATAAGTTTCTGTAGAGTTATCTAATTGGATAAAAA